TGTGTCAATCCATCTTCTAGAGGGCCTTCCCGTTTTCTGTTGACCCTCCACTTTACCAAGCATGATATCCTTCTCCAGGGAATGGTCCCTTCATAAAACATGACCAAAGTAGGTGAGATGAAGTCTGGCCATTCTCACTTCCAAGGAACATTCCTGGTATACTTCGTCTGGACCAGATTTGTTAGTTCTTCTGGCAGTCATGGTACTTTAGGCATTCTTTGCCAACACAACTCAAAAGCATCAACTATTCTTCCATCTTCCTTATTCATTGTTCAAGTTTCACATGCATTTGAGGTGATTGAAAATGCCATGGCTTGGGTTAGGTGCACCTTAGTCTTCAAAGAGACAGTTTTGCTCTTCAGCATTTTAAAGAGGTCTTTTGCAGTGGATTTGCTCAGTCCGATACATCATCTGATTTTTTGGCTGTTGCTTCCATTGGTGCTGATTGTGGATCCAATTAACATGAAATTTTTGACATCTTCAATCTTTTCTCCATTTACCATGATGCTGTTTATTGGTCCAGCTGTGAAGATTTTAGTTTTCTTTATGTTGAAGTGCAATCCATATTGCAGACTGTAATCTTTAATCTTCATCAATAAGTGATTCAAGTCATCTTCACTTTCAGCAAGCAAGGCTGTGTCATTTGCATATCGCAGGTTGTCAAGGAGTCTTCCTCCAATCCTGATACTGCATTCTTCATATAGTCTAGCTTTTCAGATTTTTTGCTCAGCATACAGATTGAATAAGTATGGTGAAAGGATACAATCCTGACACTCTCCCTTCCTGATTTTAAACCACGAAGTATCTCCTTGTTCTGTTTGAATGACAGCCTCTTGGTCTATGTATAGGTTCCTCATGAGCACAAATAAGTGTTCTATAATTCCTATTCTTATCAATATTATCCATAATTTGTTATGAACCACACAATCAAATGCTTTTGCATAGTCAGCAAAACACAAGTAAACATCTTTCTGGTATGCTTTGCTTTCATCCAAGATCCATCTGACATCAACAATGATATCCCTTGTTCCATGTCCTCTTCTCAATCTATCTTGCATTTCTGGAAGCTCCTTGACAATGTACTGGTGCAACTGTTTTTGAATTATCTTTAGCAAGATTTTATTTACATGTAATATTAATGATATTCGATAATTTCCATATTCTGTGAAATCACCTTTTTTGGAGTGGGTACGAATATGGATATCCTCCAGTCAGTTGGCAAGATAGCTGTCTTCCACATTTCTTGGCATAGGCGAGTTAAGTGCCTCAAGCACAACATCTGTTTGTTGAAACATCTCAGTGGGTTTTCCATCAATTCTTGGAGCCTTGTTTTTCACCAATTCCTTCAGTTCAGTTTCTATTTCTTCCTTTAATATTATTGGTTATTTATCATATGCCACCTCCTGAAATAGATGAACATTGGCCAGTTCTTTTTGATACAGTGACTCTGTGTATTCCCTCCCTCTTCATTTGATGTTTCCTGCATCAGTCCATATTTTGCCCATAGAATCTTTCAATATTGCAACTCAATGCTTTAATTTTTCCTTCAGTTCTTTCAGCCTGAAAAATGCCCAGTGTGTTCCTCCCTTTTGGTTGTCTAACTCCAGGTCTTTGCACATTTCATTTTAGTAATTAACTTTGTCTTCTTGAGCTGCTCTTTCAGTTCAGTTCTTTCATTTCAGCATTTCTTCCATTTTCTTTAGTTCCTCTCCATTCAAGAGCAAGTTTCAGAGTGTCTTCTGACATCCATTTTGGCCTTTCCTCCCTCTCCTGTCTTTTTAATGATCTTTTGCTTTCTTCATGGATAATGTTCTTTATGTCATCCCACAAGTCCTCTGGTTTTCAGTCATTGATATTCAGTGCATCAAATCTATTCTTTAGATGGTCTCTAAATTCAGGAGGAATATAATCAAGGTCATATGTTGGCTCTCATGGACTTCTTTTAATTGTCTTCAACTTCAACTTGAACTTGCATATGAGTAGTTGATGGTCTGTTCCACAGTCTGCTCCAGGCCTTGTTTTCACTGAAGATATTGAGCTTCTCCATCGTCTCTTTCCACAGATGAAGTCAATCTGATTCCTGTGTATGCCATCTGGCAAAGTCCACGTGTATAGCCACTGGTTTACGTTATTCATAAAAGGTATTTGTAAAGCATAAGTTGTTGGTCTTGCAAAATTCTATCATGCAATCTCCAGCATTATTTCTATCACCAAGGCCGTATTTTTCAACTACCCATGATTCTTCATTTCCAACTTTTGCATTCCAGTCACCCATAATAATCAACACATTTTGATTGCATGTTTCGTCAATTTCAGAATACAGCAGTTGGTAATAATCTGCAATTTCCTCGTCTTTAGCTTTGGTGGTTGGTGTGTAAATTGGAATAATAATTGTATTAACTGGTCTTTCATGTAGGCATATGGATGTTATCCTATCACTGTGACACCATTCTACTTAAGGATAGATCTTAAACCTTGTTTGTGATGATGAATTCCAGGCCATTCCTCTTCAATTTGTCATTCCTGGTATAGCAGATCATATGGTTGTCTGATTAAAAATGGCCCAAACCAGTCCATTTCAGCTCCCTGATGCCTAGGATATCGATCTGTATGCATTCCATCTCATTTTTGACAACTTCCAGTTTTCCTAGATTCGTTCTTCATACGTTCCATATTCTGATTATTAATGGATGTTTGCAGCTGTTTCGGCCCCTTTTGAGTAGTGCCCCATCAACAAATGGAGGCCCTGAAAGCTTTTTTCCATCCATATCCTGAAAGTCTGCTCTACTCTCAGGAGGCAGCCCTTCCCCCATCATATTTTGAGTGACCTCCGACCTGAGGGGCGCATCTTCCAGCACTGTATTGGACAGTGTTTCAGGGCTATTTATAGTTTTCCAGTAACATATCAGACAGTGTTTCATTGCTATTTATAAATTTCCAATTCTTTGAAAAGTGGATGGCTCCTTCCTTCTTCAGAGTTTTCAGGAAGCTTCCCTGAAGTCTGTCCACCATGGGTGATTCTGCTGGTATTCAAAACACCAGTGGTGCAGCGTGCAGCCTCACAGCAATATGCAAACCACCACAGTGTGATGACAGAGGAGTGGTGGAAGCCTTTATATAGGAACATAAAATATACATAAAAGACTCTATAGCCTGTTCAATAATGATTTGATACACACAGATGAATTTAATTAGAATATGGAGTCCCTGGGTGTAGCAAATGGCTGAGTGCTTGACTACTAGCCAAAAGGTTGTTGCTTAGGAAGACAAGTCCGCTGATCTTCTGAAAGGTCTTGAAATCCCTATGGAGCAGTTCTACCATACATATATGGGGTCTTCATCAGTCAGAATGAACTCACTGGCAACTAACTACAACAAAAAACAATTAGAATATATTTGTTGAATAAACTAATAAATGATTTTTCCAAGTTATATCATTCTAAAAAGAAGTGTTGGTGGCACAGTGGGTACATGCTTAGCTAATAACCAAAAGGTCAGTTTTTCAAACTCACCAGATGCTCCTTGGGAGAAAGATGAGGCAGTCTCTACTGTAAAGATTTACAGCCTTGGTGACATTGTGGGGCAGTTCTACTCTGTCCTATAGGGTCACTATGAGTTGAAATTAACTTGACAGCAACAGGGTTTATTACTCTAGTAAATTTCTTATAGATTGTCTTCTTAAAATCAATTAATTGTTTTTTTCCTTATTATTTTTTTTCTGGAATTTATTAAAATGAAAAACCAGTGAATATATTTCTCAAAGTGACACAAAGCTGTTCCTATAAAATAAAAAGTAATTTAAACAATAGAAGCACTTATACATGCAAGCATAACAAGCTGTATCTTAAAGAGGAATAATTCTTTGTATTAGTGTTTTGATTATCCTGACAAAGAGAAAAAATTCAAATAGCAACACTACGGTAAATTTAGAGAAGCAATGAGAAAAAAGAGTGGTATATAAATAGTGTTCAATTCAGAAAAACTATCTAATCCAGCATTTTCCAAGGAGGATCCTGTGAAACATTAATGTATTTTGATATATTATGGTGTGATATATTAATGGATGTTTTCCCCAAAAGTTTTATAATCAAGGAAATTTGGGAAATTCTTCATACTATACTCCTGTTTTGAGATTTTCAGTGCCTCTAAAGTTTCTGAGAAATCTTAGATTAACTGGATCCATATAGGTTTATTATTATTATTGTGCTAAAATAGACATACTATGAAATTTATAATTTTAAACATTTTTAAATGTACAATGTAATGGCATTAATAACATTCACAATGTTGTAAACCATCACTATCTAATTCTAGCTATAGTTTTGTTTATTTTTATTATTGTAAAAATAGAGACAACACATCATTGTGATTCATTATTTTTCAAATGTGCAATTCAGTGAGACCAATTACATCAGTAATGTTTAAACATTCGTTGTGATGATCATTACTCATTGCCAAATTCTCCATCTTAAATTTGACCATGAATCAGTTTCCTTCTGGAACATCTATGAGTTTATCTTGATGTTCCCAGATAATATACTCACCGAAACACTAACTTCACCTATCCCTTTCATTTAAAAAATAAAATATGTGTTCTTGAGGGATTAAGTGCCTTGTTCACAGTCACACAGGGAGGGAGTTAGGGACAGAGCCAGTATCTCATCCAGATTTCCCGATTCTACAGGACTTCTATTTCAAGGTATTTTTCACATGACTCAATTTAAGTAGACTGACCTGATGATCTAGTAATCTATAGCTACTATATTAAATTTTTACAAGGATAACTCAAATTTTGATACTTACCTCTAATCTTTTAAAAAGGTACTTTTAAAAAAGATACTTTTTAAAAAGATACTTTTTAAAAGCTACTCTCTATCTATCTATCTATCTATTTATTTTAAAAAGCTATCCTATATTTATTTTATAATTCTCTCATTGTAATTTTCTTATGAGAACTGTCATTGTCAGAAATATCTCTAATTCACACAATCTGTTCTTAGGTCTTTTTAAGATTGTGGCTGATAAAACTCCATACCTTACTATGGAAGAAATTACAAGAACCATTCATATTGGACCAAGTAGACTGGGACATCCTTGCTTCTATCATCAGAAGGATATAAAAGTAGGGAATCTTATCATAAAGCAGGGTGAACAAATCGAGCTCAAATCCATTAAAGAGATAAACGGAGAAATGATTGTGAACTGTGGAATGATCAGGAATCATCACAATTACTCATTCACTTTGCCTTTGTCACAAGAAGGAGAATTCTTTGAGTGTGAAGATGAATGTATTTATACCCTAAAAGAGATTGTTGAATGGAAGATCCCCAAGAACAGAACACGAACTGTGAAGCTTACCGATTTTTCGAGTAAGTGGGATTCTCCAAATCCATTCCCAAAAGGCTTTTATGGCTCTTTGATTCTCAAGCCTGTTTATGAAATTCAAGGTGTGATGAAATGTAAGTATCCACTGAGAATAATTCTCTATGAACATAAGTTGTGTGAGGGTTGGTAAAAAAGAAGGTTTTAGAGTCTGTGGAATGGGACTGTTTCCCTGACTGATCATGCTGAGAGATTCCTCTTCTGTAAATAAGTAAATCAAACAATCATTGCAAGGATCAAATTGAATAAAGTATATAAACATATATGTTTACATACACACACGTATATATCTGAACACACACACATACACACACACATATACATCCAAATGTAAAGGGCTGTAACTGTCAGGTACAGATGGATTAAAATATTAATTCATTTTTATCACTACCAATTAAACATGGGTAGAAAAGGAAGATTTAGGATGAAACTCATTTGATTAGAAACAGACATTTGTTTATGGAGGTGGCTAAGAGAAGAAGTAAAAAAAAAACCACAAACAAACTCACTGCTGTCAAGTTGATTCTGACTTATAGCGACCCCATTGGGTTTCCGAGGCAGTAAATCTTTACGGAAGTAGATTGCCCAGTCTTGCTTCCACAAAAGAAGATGTAAGAATGCAAATTTTCTTTAATATTTTTCCTATGTTCTTGTGACATCTTTCCACCACCACCCCCAGCCATGGTCATAAATCTTCTATATTAGGTGGGCGTTCCTTCTGACTTACAGAAAATGAAATGATAAATTAATTTTCATATGGGCGTGTTTTAATATACACTCTTCGTAAGCTTAATTGTATTTTAGAATAAGACTATCTGGAGAAAGCATTGTTACCCCAAAAGAATGAATGTCTTGAATTTTCATGAGTATGGCACAAATATGGGGCAAGCAGAGGGCAAAAATTTCTAAACATGGAGTCAAAACTCTAGATTCTAATTCTAAAGTCCATAACAGGCAATGGCTTTGTGTGAGCCATTTAAACTTCTGATGTCTTCTTTGGAAAGGGGATTATTATTATTTTTTTCCTGATGGAATTGTAATTTTATCAGTATTTTAAAAATTATTATATTTTTAAACTTTTTATTGTGATTTGGGTGAAAGTTTACAGAGCATGATTTTCTATTCAGCAATTCATACAAATTTTGTTTTGTGATATTGATTGCAATTCCCACAATATGACAGCACCCTTTCCACTTCCTCCCTGTGTTTGTTGCTTCCATTCATCCTTTTTTAAAAAAAAAAAAATCCCTGGGCAAATGTTACCCTATTGATTGCACATGGTTGAGAGCTCTAAGGAATGGATACCTACCTGGTGTTCTTGTTCATCTTAGATGTCTGCCCATTGTTTGGCTGGAAGTGAGGCCACAGGTGGTGGTGGTGGTGGTAGTGGTTATGAGTTAAGTTTCATATTTGAAAGATGTCAAAGAGCCATAGTCTTAGGGATTCCAACAGTCTCCATCAGACCAATAATCCTTGCTTTTTCTTTTTTTTTTTCTTTTCTTTTCTTTCTTTTTTCAATAATTTTGAATGCTGTTTCACGTTTTTCTCCTACTCTTTCCAGGACCTCCTATTGTAATCTCTTTCAGAGCAGTCAGCAGTGCTCACTGGACACCTTCTAGTTCTTCTGGTCTAACATGGTCCATTAATCCTTTGGACTAATTGTTTCCAAGTGTCTTTGAGTCTCTTCTTCTTTGCTCTGGATGGGGAGAGATCAATAGTTGCAACTTAGATGGCCGTTCACTAGCTTTTTTTTTTT